TGTTAAATTTAGCGAACTTTTTTGTAAAATAAAGGAGTTGCAGGTACAATGCCAGCCTTTAAAAAAAATTCTCTATTAGTATCCTGATTCTCAATTCTTCCTTTACTTAATTCTCATTTTAAGGAAGAATGTTTTATTAAAATAAAATAACGTTGTCTAGAGATATATCAATAAGCACATCCGCGCAGACACTTTGCCATGTGACCACTAAAACGAAAATCTAAGGCAGCACTTACCATTTGTTCGTGAACTATTTTCAAAAGGCAAACAAATTTTCTATTTTCTCTGCTTTTTGTCCGGCCTCAGTTTACTTTCACTCATATATTTAGCATCTTCTCTAACCAACAGATATGAAGAACTATCAAAGCGTTACGAAACCTTACTGCAAGCCTACGACGAGCGATGCAGGAAGCTCAGTGAACGCGATAAAACAATCGCGCGCCTGCAACGCCGCGTGTATACGACGCACGCTCAGCTCGTTCACGCGAATAAAATTTTGCTGTCCGTGGGGGAAAGATACTTGATACTTCGGCGTAAGAGATTGTTGCAAGTGAGTTAACAATATGAGATATTTATAGAGGATAATAGAGGGTAACAAAAGGGCACATAGTATACCTGATGGTAAGTGGATTCTGTGAAAATACGAGTACCTTTCATCTATCATCAATTAAGAATCAAAATGCAAATGCGATATCATCTCTAATATATAAGATGAAATATCTCGTTACCAATAAAAAAATCTCCGGTTATCGTCTTTAACTCAAGTTCTTCTATCGAGCCGACCCATTCGTACTGCATTTCCACCAAGTTGTACCATTTTGGTTCTATATAATAATTACCATTACCATTATACAGCCTATAAAAGTCCACTGCTGGACATAGGCCTCCCTCAAAGATACCCAAGACGGGATTCTGCTATAGTTGCCACGCTTGACAAGCGGATTGGCAACCGCAATATTTATTTTTATTTTGAGTTGTTATCAGGAAGATGCTGCTGCCCATCTCCTGTTTCAATTTCCCTCTGTCTGGTGTCCTTACGACACCCACGGAACGACATGGGGTAGTGGATGTTCATACCCGCCACTTCATGGTTAACTCAACAATAATAAAACACAAACACTAATACAAATAATATAAATATAAATCTCTCAATTTTCTTAGAAAAAACTATATGAAGAAAAATTAGAAGTTTTGAAGCATATAATACAAGAAATTACTGCAGAAGTAGATCAAAAAGATCTGGAACTAGATCGGTTGAATATAAACACGAAACCCGAACTAGAAGTGGACACTGCTTTGCTAATGTCAGAGGTATATTATATAATAATAATAATAATGTCCTCTAGACTGAATTTCGGCCACGGCGGCCTGCCTTAACGGAGGCTAGCCAACGGCGCAGGACAGGATTATAGTGCCCGAGTGTATACGCAAGCACAGGTGCACTCTCTATTCCCTCACTCTCATAATCCGATGTGACGGTAAACCGACACACCGGAGAGAGATCAGGCGCAGGACCAACGGCCTTACGTGCTTTCCGAGGCACGGGGCTGAGACACCGCCAACTTCCTGACTCCGGGCAACTACTGAGAATTTCTTGATGAAAAAATTCAATAATCAATTTTTTGGCCCGACCCGGGATTCGAACCCAGGACCTCATGATCAGCAGTCGCACTACTACAACCACTAGACCAACGAGGCAGTTATATACATATAGTATATTATATAGTATTTATATTAAAATCTTACACATGCCTGCTTTCATTTCGAAGAGGGTTACAGAACAATTATTCCGACGTGCTACTACTGCTATTGTCAACTAATATGTCTTTGGAATATTTTTATTTCTCAGACATGCAGGTTTCTTCACGTAGGTTTTCTTCCACCGCCGTACACATGGTAAATCAGCACTTAACTTGGAGCCGGTGGGGAAGGGAGAGCGGAGGATTAATGTCACCCATGGTATGATATTGGGCTGTGGACTCCCAAATATCGTCGGCATTCAGTAAACTATTTATTGGAGCGGAGCGGGCGATGCATGCGGACCTCCCATATACGGCCGGAGATAAAAGTGAAAAATGAAGAATTAAAGGTTATTGTGGCAGCGGATCCATCACAAAGCACTTCAGAGATAGCTACAGGCTTCGGAGTAAGTGATAAAACTGTATTAATCCACTTGTTTGCTACAGGAAAGTAAAAAAAACTTGAACGATGGGTACCTCTTGAATTGAGTGAATCGAACTAGCAAACACGCGTCGACTGCTGTGTTACTTTGCTCGACTGACACAAAAATGAAGGGATTTTAAATTGAATCATTACTTGTGATGAAAAGTGGATACTGTACGATAATCGGAAGCGCTCGTCGCAACGGCTGAATCCTGGAGACCCAGCTAAATCCTGCCCTAAACGAAAATTGACTCAGAAAAACTTACTTGTGAGTGTTTGGTGGACTACCGCCGGTATCGTTCACTACAGCTTTCTAAACCAAACGATTACGGCAGATATCTATTGTCAGCAACTGAAAACCATGAAGGAAGTACTAGCTGCTAGACAATCGAGATTGGGCAATCGCTCTAGGTCACTGCTGCTTCACGACAACGCAAGATCACACCCTGCACAACAAACAACCACTAAGTTAGATGATCTACAATTGGAATGTCTGCGACATCCACCGTACTCCCCCGAACCTTGTTCCAACAGATTACCATTTTTTCCGGAATTCGGACAACTTCTTACAAGAAATAGAATTCAACTCCGATGCGGCAGTCCAAACCGCCTTCAAAGAGTTTATGGATTTTCGCCCCCATGGTTTTTTTAGTAAAGGGATCAATGAAATACCTATGAGATGGCAAAAGTGCATATTCGTAGATAACAACGGTGCATACTTTGATTAATTAAATATATTTTACAAAAAAAATTGACTTTATATTCCTCTCGTACAAAACGACAATTTCATATGTAAGGACCTATTATTATGGTGTACTAAACTATAATTATTTAGTATTTAACTTAATATCATGGATATTAATACGTGAAGGGAAATCTTTGTTCCAATTTTAAGTATATTGTGCACACAAAGAGTTTTTGTATAGTTATAGTTTACATGGAGCAGGAGTGACGCATTTAACTATAATATGTTTTAGAAATACAATAAATGAAATAAAAGATTAATTGTTTACGTTCAAACAGCCAATGTCAAACACATAATAGTCTGTGGTCAAATAGACGCACATAGAAATTGATGCCAAAGAAATTTATTAATTACTGACAGACTGCCTAAATGTGCTGTGAATTTTTGTGAGTTCAATTGTTTCCTTTTTAACATCAGTAATGTGAATCACGACAAAAAAACGTTTAATTAATATTTTTTTAATATTAGATATTTGTGTTTTATATATTAATGTATAAAATATAAAATGAAAAAGTGTTGAAAGTAAAATATAGCTTGCTACAAATTTTATGAATTACGGTCGTATTTCGACCACTGGGCGGAAATTAGTATAATTTTCTAAAACGTTGGCTTTCGTTCAGCCAATCTCAGTGTTATAATTTTAGTATAAAAGTTTAAGGCTAACTTTGAGGCAAGTCTGCCAATGATGAAAAGGCTCTTTACTATAATCATTAAGTTCTAACACAGAACTTACCCTGATAAACTAAAATATTCAAATAGACTTTTAGAAAAGTATCTTTCTCCCTTATCTATTTCTAAAGCAGTAAGGGTGATAGTAATATAAACCCTCTCAAAAGTAAAAGGAGGCCTGTGCCCAGCTGTGGGACTTATAGGCTGTGACTTTAACTTTAAGGGTGATAATTAAAATGAAAACTGTGACCCATAGAAGCCTTCATATAAAATTAAAGTAAAATGTATACGCGTTTTTACCCCTAAGGACTAAGATGTACTTATCTTCAATATAAAGTCTCCGGTTTTCATCACCTACCACACAGCGTTATGCTTTGTGTGATATTCTGGGAGGTCGTGTTTCTTCACCGGTCGAATCAAGATGACCCATTCCTACTGCAGCTCCAATATTACAATTACCAATATAACCTATCAAAAGTCCAGTCAAGGGGGATATTTGCCACGTTTGACAAGCGAGTTGCCAACCACAGTTTTTATTTTTATTCAGCTGTTACCAAGAAGATGCCATCTCTTGGTTTAGCTTCCCCTCTGCTGCCTCTTATGAGATCCGTGTGATGGTATGGGAAGTGAATATTCTAACACCGTCAATACATTTTAGCTCCAATATTACTATATATTACTACTGTGGCTGTGTTGTAGCATTACCACGTTTAATAAAGTTTAGTTTTTGTTTTTTAAAATATCAAACAAACTAGCCGCCCCCACTTTTCAGTAAGTGGTTTACAAAAAATCACAGCACATTTAGGCAATATAATTAATATAATTTTATATATATTAATTAAATTATATATATTAATTAAATTATTATCAACAGTAATTAATTTCTGGCAACATTTTAAAATTCTTTGGTGTCAATTTCTAATCCGTGCGTCTGTTTGATCACAGACTATTATGTGTTTGACATTGGCACTATGAACGTAAACAATTATGTTTTATTTAATCTATTTTATTTCTAAAACATATTATAGATCAAACCATATACATGCAACCAGCTCTACAATTAAGTCTGCAGAGGCGTTGTTTCATATTGATCCACTGTATAATACAGGCAGTATTATAGGGTAGACCGAGGCGAATCGGATCACTTTTTCTTTGAGGTTGAGCAAATCATACTAACGTGTTATATAATGTTATTTTTATTGATAAAAACGTAAGAAGTATCATCAGCTATGAAATAAACATTTGAAAACTTAAATCATACATATATTCTCTTAATTAGCTATTAAAAACTAAAAAAAAGAAAAATATCCGAATCGCCCCAATTTTCGGGGTGAATCGGATCGTACACATGTAGGTAACAAAATTTTAAGTTTCTTATGACTATAGCTTTGGAATCAGTAAAAAATTAATAATGAGATCAATTTTAATTATCGGCACATAATTCACATACATATGGTCCTTTTTCCTCCCCCATATCAGCACATTTTTCGTGGCACCATTCTTCGCAGGCATTGCACTGAATCCAATCCTCTGATGGTGGATGAACGAATATTTCGAAACAGTAAATGCAGTGCCACTCTCTATGTTTTGGAGATGAACTCTTAATTTTTATCGCAAGCTTTGCTTTATTCTTCATTTTCTTCATAGTGTTTTCTTTGCCCACAGCCTTTTCCTTATTTTCCTTGGTTTTATTGTCTACCTTAAATTTCTTCTTTGCTTCTTTTTCGAGAAGAGTAGTCTTATTCTGAGGTGATGTTAAATGCAAGGCCAGTTTTGAAACTTTACGAATTCTTTTAGAAGCAATTGGTGACTTTAAAGGTGATGGAAGAATTTCTTTAATTATTTCTGCACAGGTGGGAGGCTGGGCTTCGTCAGATTGTTGTGAACTTGTGGATGGCACTATATTATCAAGTGGTTTTGTATTTGTGGCTTGCACGTGTAGCTGCATTTTTTGGGAACTTGGGGACTGGACTTGGGACTCTACAATGTCCGACTCTTGATCACCGATGAACTTGTGGTCAGGTATTGCATTGGCGTTTAGTGGAAATATTCCAGTCTTTTCGAAGCCTTTTGTAGCATTCCCAACAGTGGCAGCCTGATTCCAAGCCCGTTGGAAAAGTGCTCCGAAAGCGACTTTTGTGATTCCTTGATTGGGATGTGAATGTTGCCATGCTGTAGCTTGTTGGTGATAATAGGTTTTGAGCGGTTTGAAAAACGATACATCGAGCGGTTGCAGGGCATGTGATGTGTGTGGAGGAAGAAGTACAAGTTCAATTTCGAAAGAGTCACACAAGTCTACCACTGAGTAGCTGGTGTGAGACGCATGCCCATCCAAAATTAGAACTACTTTTCCTGGGGTCCGGTAGCGATTGAAATGTTGCAGCCACAACTTAAAAGCTTCTTCGGTGACCCAGCCGTTTTCTGTTATGGCAACTTCAGTACCAGGTGGCATACCTAGGAGAAAATCGTCACGTTTACGCACACCTTTGAATAGAACAAATGGAGGTATGTACTGTCCTGCTGCATTCATACAGGCTAGAGCGGTTACATTTTCACCTCGTTCAACACTAGTCATGCTGACAACATCTTTAGCACCTTTTTGGGCTATAATGTTGGGTGGGCGGTTACTAAGCGGCATACCCGTTTCATCAACATTGTATACACATTCAGGTTTTCCTCTTAAATTGTTGTTATCTACTACTGTTTCCAAAGTATTAAAGAATTCTGCTACTTTTTCCTTCTTCATACCATCACACCTTGCTCTTGACAGACCCTCCGGCTTCCTAATAGTTAATTTTTTATTTCTTTGCATGAAGCGATGAAACCAGTCCTGGCCAGCCATTCCAGCATTTCTGTCAAATTTGTGTTTTATGTTTTGACGTTCTGCAAATTCAAACGCGTACTTACGTACCGCTTTGGGTGTAATTCCGAAGCCACGACTTGCCAAGTGCAGTAGCCGGTCAGCTAACTTCTTTTCTGCATTCTCATCTAAAGCTGGCTGTCCACCTCGACGCTTAATAATACCCCTGGATAAAGTAACTCTTCTCTGTAAGCTCGTGAACGGTACTGCAAAAATCTCAGCAGCCTTACGTAAGGTCAACTCTTTGTTCTGGACTTTATTTACAGCCTCTTTCATTTTTTCTTGAGACCATTCTCCGGCATCAGTCTTTCTTCTGTACGTGCGAACCATCTACAATGAAATAAATATAAATCAATAACTTCAAACATGTCATAAATCAGTTTAAAAGTGTGATCCGATTCGCCCCTGACGATATGATCCGATTAGCCCCATAATCAAGACTTTTGAAATAAATATTTTAGACGTTAACCTCTAAGATCATACTTAAAAGCGAATTGGTTCTCTAATATAGACACCTTGCTTAACAATATAAACCAATATAGTTGAGTTATAACACAAATCCGCAATATGACACAAAGAAATCGTAAGTACGTACCTTAGATGAGCGCCAAAATTGCGACACACACAAACGACCGAGTCGCTGACTAGCGGCGTCGCCACTGATTCACAAGTGCGATCGAAATACTGCCTATGTCGGGAGGTGCGGGGTGAGAGGAGATACGTGGTGGAGCCACGTGTTTAAGGCTGCCGAAAATCTAGTTCCCCGGTCAAACCTCAAACCTATTACGCGAGATATTAACTAAAGTGGACTGTATTTGCGATTGCTTCTATGCTTATGTAAAAGCGACTACTATAGCATGCGGTACAATGCACTCGCTCTTCCCTAAACTAAAACTATTACTTGCCAAATCGATGAAAGGAATCCTGCCTGATGGGGAGAACACAGAATTGGAGCGGTTAAACAATTATTAAATATTAATCAGGCAGTAAATTAAGGAATGTTGACTCACCGGGGTTCTTCTATCCTTTAGAGCACTATAGCGGCGATTTCCGGAACCTTCTCTGGACAGACACTCTGGGGCCCCAGGGGTGCGTCAGGAGAGAAGCGTTGTAGTTCAACGACGGCTGCGGCGGGAAGAAGAGCGCGCGTCGGTTGCGCTTGTCTTATATATCCTCGGGTCCGATGATTACGCGATGTTCTAGAATCGTCTTCTTTCCCCCCCCACCCCCTCACCCCGATGTGGCGATAGGAGGGTACGAATGATATCGGTTTGGGAAAGGGAATAATGATTCGGCAAGTTCCTACCGTCAAAAATAAAAACGCGAATGGTTTTCCGCGCAACCATCTCCCCCCGCCCTTGAAGGATTTCCTTCAAAAAAATAACTAAACAACTAGAGCTAAGATCAACTAACAAATAACTAACTAACGCTAAGATTACCTAAATTCAACTACAATTTTAATCTAGAAATCTAATTTAAATTATGGAAGAGGCAAGGGGCACAAACGGACAACAGGACGTAGGTAAGACCCAACCGTGGTCTTAACGCGAGCTATCCTAATTACTCCGTCGGAACCGGGAAAGACCTCCTCGACGATTCCTAACGGCCAGTGGAGAGGCGGCGTATTCTCCTTAGTGAGCACAACTACCGTTCCTACAGCTAAAGGCTCTGTCGCTGTGTTCCATTTTTGCCGAGACTGCAAAGTATGCAAGTATTCCATCCTCCATCGTTTCCAAAACGATTGCACTAACCGATCTAATAATTTGTGGCGTGCGGAAATGCTAAGTCTGTTCTCATCCATATCCGCGGCGGGCAGATACCTTAGAGGCGTTAAATTCAAAAAATGTGCTGGAGTTAGAGCCAGCGGTTCCGAGGGGTCACTAGATAACGTCCGACAAAGTGGGCGGCTATTCATTACGCATTCAATTTGAGCGAGCACCGTACTTAGCTCTTCGAAGGACAAAATTTGATCTCCTATTACTCGGTATAAGTGGCTCTTTAGACTTTTAATATTAGTCTCCCAATTGCCCCCAAAATGACTCGCGGCTGGGACGTTCAGAGACCACTCAATGCGGTTCTCGGCTAGAATGTGAGCGAACTCCGAATTATAATACTTGCTAGCTAAGAGCTCATGTAGTTCCGATAGAATACGTTTTGCACCGACGTAGTTCGTACCGTTATCCGAATATAATTTACTTACAGGGCCTCTGCGGGATAGAAATCTTTTAAATGCACCCATAAAGCCTGCTGTGCTTAGATCACCCACGAGTTCTATATGCACTGCTCGAGTAGTTAGACATACGAAAATGCAGACGTAAGCCTTGTGGACCTTATACCGCGCCCGCGAGTGAGCGTGACCTTAAACGGACCAGCAAAATCAGACCCGGTGTGCGTGAAGGGCTTTACTGATTGTATCACTCTGCAAGATCTAAGTTCCGCCATTTCCGGAAATGACGGCTTGGGGCGGCCCGAAAGCAATCTGTGGCCACCCGATTGCGTATTAAACGTTACGTGAAGAAAGAATCCAAATAATTCTGACGCAAGATCGACATCAATAAATCGGGGCCAGCGTGCGAGTTCAATTTATGATGCGCCATAATCGACTAATAAGTTCGTGATATGGTCTTTACGCGGTAAAACTATAGGGTGCCGTTGGTCGACAACTCAATTGCGAGTTGGATAAGCGTCCACCTACCCTGGTTACAATCCCATCCTGTAAAAATGTGCTTAAGGCGTTGAAAGGCGCGACTACCAAGCTCTATTCGATTGTAACCTCTTGTAATTTCTTCGGAGAAGTGCGCACGTTGTAAGTTCCTCACGTAATACCAAAGTTGTTAACCTAGCGTACTACACAGGAGCTACGAAACCCATGACGTTCCATAATCTAGCAACGCATGACAGTATTGTGCGCTTTGTGCATTTCTCTACGGGCGGATTTACCTTAAGGCTAAACACGTCGGACTCTGGTGACCAACACAGACCGAGCACCTTGTGTGTATCGGAATCGTCGAATTCCTTTATCGCCGAAAGACGGTGTGATAGTGGGATTGTATCTAAAACCGTACGCGAATTACTAGTCCACTTCACAAGATCGAATTGACCCGATTTCATGAGCCTTATGACTTCGGCGGTGGTTAGGGTGGCCTCCTCCACGCTATCGACCGAATACACAAAATCATCCATATATAATCCGCTCTCAATTGCCCTCTTAGCTTTAGGATAAGAGGGACCTTCATCGTGAGCGAGCTGTCTCACCGTGCGTAACGCATGAAATGGGCTCGACTTTAAACCAAAACAAACGCGGTTAAATTCAAACACCATTAGAGGTTCCTTTGGGTTGAAGCGATATAAAATGCGTTGGAATCTACGGTCGCATTCACGGACCCCTATGCAAAGAAACATTTGGCGAATATCGGCGGATAGTGCTATACTAAACAAACGAAAATTGACTATTATATTAAATAAACTGCCCTGTAAATTTTGCCCACTATAGAGGATATCGTTAAGCGACAGGTGAGTGCTAGTTTTAGCACTAGCGTCGAGCACTACACGTAATTTAGATGTAAGTTTGTCCTCTCTAATGACTCCGTGGTGTGGTATAAAATACGACGGTGTGTCTTCGTAGTTATCTAATTTCGAAGCCACAAGCGATATGTAACCTTCTCTTATATATTCGTTAATGACGCCGTCGTAAGCTTCCTTTAACTGGGGCGAAGCGAGCATCCTACGCTCCAAGCTGTAGAAACGCTTTTCCGCCATTTGACGCGAATCGCCGAGAGATAAAACATCTCCTTTAAAGGGTAGCGCTACACTATATCTACCGTCGCGATCACGAACGGTCGTGCGGACGTAAATTTCCTCGCATAACCTGTCATCTGGACTAGCTATAGGTGGGACGTTCACCTCCTCCATCTCCCAAAATTTGCGGACTAACGACTCGAGCGGTTCGACAGCCATACCACAATAAGAGGTTGCCGAAATACTATCTAGGATGGGGGCGGAGCCAAGGATCACATAGCCCAATACGGTTTCCAGTGCGTAAGGCGCGGTATGCGAGGAGTTGCCCCTGACCTTATTGTTTAACAAAAGATAAGGGAAAAGCGATGCCCCAATGAGCATGTCTATGTTTCCAGGAACGGCGTACGTGTCGTCTGCTAGAGGCAAATTTTTAAATTCAATCATTGCCGAGGTGTCAACCGAAACGGTTGGCAACCGTTCAGTGACCCTATCTACTACTAGTGCATTTATATCAAAGTTAACATTACGATCTATCCGAGAATAAAATTTTAAATTTATATATCCCTGTGTCGCTTTACTAGTACCTCCGATGCCTTTAACTACAGGACATGAAAGTGACCTATTTATTACTAAACCTAAGCGCTGACAACATTGTCGTGTTATAAAGCTATTTTGGGCTCCGCTGTCCAGCAGTGCACGGACGCTTTGTTCGTTTCCACGCGAATCCCTAACCAAAATACGCGCCGTACCCAGTAACACGGTCGAAGGAGGTTGTACTCCCATATTTGCCAATGAGCACAGAGCGACATCACCAGGTCGACCGCTAGAATCGTTGACCTTAGTAGGGGTGAATTCCTTATCCGCCTTACTTGACGCCGCTATGTTGCTATTTTCAAAATGTAATAGCGTGTGATGTTTCCTGGCGCACTTGCTACATACGGAACTCGAATTGCATTTTGCAACTAAATGCTTATCGCTTAAGCAGTTCAAACATAGGTTGTTTGTCTTTACTAACTTATAACGTTCGCTTGGTGAATATTTACGAAAAGTCGCACAATTATATAAATTACCGTGTTTATCTTTACATACTATACAAGTATGCTGGAGTGATGTCGGCGTAGCGGTTACGTAAGTTAACGACCCTGCTATTTTAGATGGTTGAGTCTGTCTACGGTCGACGCACCTTTTAATCTCCTGTTTAACGTTCGGAGAGCGCTGCATCACCTTTATTTGATCTCGCACGAACGATGCTAATGAATGAAAGGAAGGCATCTCCGAGCTACGATGCTCCATTTCAAACGCACGCACGGTGTCGGAGTCTAATTTCTTTAATGCTATATGGAGAAACACCACGTCCATAAGGTCATCAAACTTCAAATTCTTAAGTGCAGCCACCGATGCCACAAATTTATCTAGAAACTGCTCTAAGCCGTTGATGTTCGCGGATGATATAGGTTTAAGATCGAATATCTGGTTCAAATATTCGGAAGCTAACATTCTCCTATCTTCATATTTAGTTTTAAGCGTTTCAAATATTAATACGTAATTGTTTGCTGTAGGTGTAAAACCTGAGCAGATCGACTGTGCTCTGC